TTCAATCAACTCTAACTCTATGGTTTAGCCTAACTCCACTAGACCAGCTCCTAACCAAAAATTCCTACAGTGAAAAGATCAAAGTTTTACCCAGGTAGTTAGCCAGGTAAGGATAGTACTAGAGGGTGATCAAAGATCAATTAAGTACCTCTTTCCTTGCGGTGCGCTTTACGCAACCCCTAAACCTTTCCTTAGACACCAACTATTCTGAGAAAACTTAAACCGTTCACTTAAGGATTTCTTGTTCCTTATTGAGCTCGAATCCTTAGGGCCAACGTCTAATGAGTTTTAGAAGGCTTGGGTTTGTGAAGTGAGGAATTAGTGATTTGTGGGCTAAGAAAAGGGTGATGAAATCCCTTACCTTATCTTGATTGGGGTTTTGCCCTTAAGAATGTTTTAAGTGTGTGCCAAATCAAGTGCAACAATCACTTTGGTGAATTCCTACACTATATGAAATGCAACCCTAGAAATTAAAAGCGACTAAAAATGATAAAAAAAATCTTTTTTTTAATTATGGTCAATAACAATCAAATGTGAGAAGGGGGAATATTGTATGAGTTTATTATCTTGTTAGTTAATATCTAAGTGAAAGGTAGATTTTATTATGGTCAACAAAAATAAAATCTTTTTTTAATCCTAATTGTCTCTAATTGTGAAGCTAGCTAAAGAGGGTGGAATTAAAAACTAGAAAGAAGACTTACCCGAAAGCAATGCTCCAAATTCTTGATCTTCAATCCAAGATTTTCAAGCTCCAAGCGGTTCCTTCACAAGAAAAATACACAAGTTAAAGAATCAAGTTAATAAAATCCTATTTTAGCACCTTCCCCGGCAACGGCGCCAAAAACTTGATGCGGCATAATTATGTACCAAAATTGCAAGTGCACAATTTATCAAGTTATAGTATAAAAAGATATCGATCCCACGAAGAAGGTGATTTTAAGAGATTATTAAACTTGGTTCTTATATTTTGTGCGTGACAATTAGGAATAAAGAATAAGTGTGAATGTGATTTTGTTGAGTGATTGTTATGAATATATGCAAAAGATAATAAATTGAATTTTAGAGGAGAGAAGGAAGAATTAAAGAATAAATGAAATCACAAGGCAAGAAATATGAATTAATAAAATCAAGAAATAAAACCAAAAATGAAAAGAAAATTTAAGAAAGTTAAGATGAAGGATTCAAAAGAGGTAAGAAATCTAGAATATAATCCACTAACCAATTTCAATTACAAAATATAAACTATTCTCTTTTTATCATATTTCAACTTAGATTTATTAAGCATAGATTATCAAACCATTTAAGGAAAGTGTAACCTATCAAATTATCATCTAAGCTAAAATTACTATTCATGATAAGAACAACAACATGATAATAATCCTAGAATTCATAAGCATAACCTATCAAACCATTTAAGATAAGCATAGATTATCAAATTCTTCTTCTACCGATTAGTTCTCTAGTTGATTATCCTAAACATAAACATTTTAAGTGCAAGAGAAGAATTCATACAATATAAAGAAAATTAGGCTAGTTTCATACAATTCTAAGATTCTTACAAGAATTAAATTCACATCTTAAGAAATAAAAGCAAAAAGAAAAGGAACTAATTACAAAAATAAAAAGAAAAGAAAAATCTAAACTATGAACAAGAAATAAATCTAACTACAAAGAAAATAAAAATCTAAACTACAAAATATATTACAAAAATTAAATGCAAGAAAATAAATCTATTCTACAAATTAAAGTGCAAAAAGAAATAAAAAGACACCGAAGTAAATCTACACTACAAGCATGAATTTAAATCTAACTAATAAGCAATAATAAAGAAATTACTAAAAAGAAATAAAAGAGAAAAGAAATACAAACCTTCAAATTGCTCTTCATCTCCATCCTCATCATTCAACAAAGAGGAAAAAGAACAAATTTAAAGAGGAAAAAATTATTTTTATTAATTGCAACTAAAGTTACAATTTTTGGAAGGCCTTCTCAATTAAGAGTAGCCCTCCTCTCCAAAAGGAGTTTACAAAATTTTCACACCTTTAACCCCTCACTCTCTACCCCTATTTATAGTAATCTTCAATGAATATGAGCCATTGGATTTGTCTTGAGCCCCTAGCAATAATCTCCACCTTTGGATTTGCTTTTTTGTTCTTCTCTAGCCCAACATCCATATGATTTTCAAAAGAAAATGAAAGTCCAAATATTTGCTGCAGGTCCGGCCCATATGAGAGTTCCAAGGAAGAAAATCAAAGCCTAGGTCCGGTCCCTTGCATTAAACCAAGTCTGCAGCCTAGCACTTTGAGGTCCGACCCAAATTACATGATTGATCAAAATCCATTTCTTTGGCCCATTATTCATTTGATTTTGAAAATCCCCAGCAGCCTTTTATTCGGTCCATTAAATCTCCATCTGCATTTGTAAATCAAAGTTTTGATTCCAAGTCCGGTCCATCAATGTCCGGTCCATCAAAGTTTGAGCCATCAAAGTTTGCAGCAGTACATCCATCACTTGTGAAAACAAAAAGAAGAACTCCCATGGACATTTGGGATATTTGGGCTTTTGGGTTTTTAAAATTCAAATATTTCCTTTGGCTTCTTAAATTTCTCTTATTTCTTCATTTACTCAAGGGTCTTTGTTGAGAGATGGGAGTTTGAGATTTATTCTTCATTAACCTGCAATTAAAGATAAAAACAATTATTAGTGGTATATTTATTTATATAAAATAGATAATGAGGGTATAAAATTGTAATAAATTGTGATTATCAATACGGACACAAGGAAGCTGATTGCTGGAGCAAGCAAAAGGATGAGCAGAAGCAAGCAAACTTTACAGAGAAGGCTGAACAAGAAAGTAATTTGTTCATGGCCTATTACCCCATTGATGATGACCGGAATGGAGTATGGTTTATGGACAGTGGGTGTTCTAATCACATGTCTGGAGCAAAGTTGTTGTTTAAAGAGCTCGATGAGTCCCAGAAAAGTGAAGTTCGGCTCGGAGACAACAAGTTGATGAAGGTTGAAGGGAAAGGTACTATTGCCATCAAAACCACTCAAGGTATTGTTAAACTCATTCATGATGTGCAGTATGTCCCTAATTTAGCTCATAATTTGTTAAGTGTTGGGCAATTGATGAATTGTGGATATTCACTTGTGTTTGCCGATGGATGTTGTTTGGTTAAAGATCAGTTATATGGTCAGTCTATTGTGAATATTCCAATGACTCAAAATAAAATGTTTCTCCTTAAAGTTGCTGCTTTGGAAAACTGTGCTTTGGTGGCTAAAAACAATGATACAAAAGTATGGCACTTACGATATGGGCATTTGAATGTCAAGGGGTTAAAAGTGTTGAGTTAGAAAAATATGGTTGTTGGCTGCCTAAAATAGATGAATTTGATTTCTGTGAAGGATGTGTTTATGGGAAGAAAAGTAGAAATTCGTTTCCTGTAAATAACTCATATAGAGCTGCTGCTTGTCTTGAAATAGTACATGCTGATGTTTGTGGTCCTATGAGTATTGAGTCTTTGGGTGGAAGTAGATATTTTTTGCTGTTTACTGATGATTACAGCCGCATGAGTTAGGTGTATTTCTTAAAAAACAAGTCAAAAATCTTTGCTAATTTTAAGAAATTCAAGACCATTGTGGAGAAGGAGAGTGGGTACTGCATCAAGGTGCTTCGTTCTGATAGAGGTGGTGAATTTACCTCTAATGAATTTAATGCCTTTTGTGAAGAAAATGGTATTTGCAGGGAGTTGACAGCACCATATACGCCACAACAAAATGGAGTGGCTGAACGGAAGAATCGAACAGTGGATGAAATGGCAAGAAGTATGATGACAGCAAGTGGTCTTCCTAAGCAATTCTAGGCAGAAGGAGTGGTGACTGTTGTTTATCTGCTGAATATATCACCCACAAAGGCTGTTCTAAATCGGACTCCATATGAAGCTTGGAAGGGTAGAAAGCCAAGGGTAAGCCACTTGAAAATTTTTGGTTGTATAGCCTATGCTTTGATTACTTCTCCTTCTCGCCACAAACTTGATAAAAAAACAGAAAAATGTATTTTTGTTGGCTATAGTCCTCAATCCAAAGCATATAGGCTATATAATCCAATGAGTGACAAGGTTATTATAAGCAGGGATGTCCAATTCAATGAAACAGAAACTTGGACCTGGAACAATATCAACAAAGAACCAGTAGCACCCTAACTTGTAGAAGAAGCAAGTGATGCTCCTGTTATTGAACCTCTTGAAGCAGGAAATCATGTTCTTACTTCTGGTGGCAGCTGCACATCTTCTGACAGCAGCTCATCTCCAGCAAGTTCAAGTTCTGAAACTCCAAAGAAGTTCAGATCTTTGGCTGATATATATGCTTCATGTAGTTTTGTGTTGTGTGCTTCTGACCTAATTTGTTTTGAAGAAGCTGCAGATAGTCAGATATGGCAGGATGCAATGAAAGAGTAGACGTCGGCAATTCAGAAAAATGAGACGTGGGAGATGGTTGATCTTCCAGAAGGAAAAAATGTTATAGGTTTGAAATGGGTGTATCGCACAAAGTACCATGCTGATGGAACTGTTCAGAGGCACAAGGCTCGTTTGGTTGCCAAAGGGTACTCACATCAACAAGGTGTAGATTTTGATGAGACATTCTCTCCGGTTACTTGCTTTGAAACAGTGAGAACCTTTCTTGCATTAGCTGCACAACTGGGATGACATGTGTTCCAGTTTGATGTCAAATCAGCCTTCTTAAATGGTGAATTGAAGGAAGAAGTTTATGTCGGTCAACCTGAAGGCTTTGTCACTGCTGATGAGAGTAAAGTCTACAAATTGAAGAAGGCTTTATAGGGCCTTAAGCAAGCTCCGCGAGCATGGTACAGCAAAATTGACTCATATTTCCAAGAGAATGGATTTGAAAGGAGCAAAAATGAACCGACCCTCTATGTGAAGAAGCAAGGTAATTCTAATTTCCTTGTTGTGTGTCTTTATGTTGATGATATAATATATATGGGGTCTAGTGAAGCTGTTGTTGAGGAATTTAAGTCCTGTATGATGAGACAATTTGAGATGACAGATTTGGGTTTATTGCATTATTTTCTTGGGCTTGAGGTCAATCAAAGTGCTAATGGCATTTTTATTTCACAAAGTAAATATGCTGCTGATTTGCTAAAGAGGTTTAAGATGATGAATTGTAAACCAGCTTCGACTCCCATGAACGTGAATGAGTCACTTAAAGCTAATGATGGTACTGGCTCAGCAAGTTCAAAGTACTTCAGGAGCATGATTGGAGGTCTGAACTATTTATCTCACACAAGGCCAGATATAGCATTCTCTGTCAGTGTGGTTTCAAGATTTATGCATAGCCCATCTATGCATCATCTCGGTGCAGCAAAAACAATTCTTTGTTATATTGTTGGAACAGTAGACTTTGGGATTTGGTACTCGAGAGTATCAAATTTTAAGCTATGTGGTTTTACTGACAGTGACTGGGCAAGTTGTTTAGATGGCGGAAAGAGTACTTCGGGTCATGTTTTCTCCCTTGGATCTGGTGTTATCTCATGGAGTTCAAAGAAGCAAGAGATTGTGACATTGTCATCTTCTGAAGCAGAATATGTAGCTGCAACTGCTGCTGTTTGTCAGGCTATTTGGTTGAGGAGGTTGTTAACTGATTTCTATCAAATTCAAGAAGGTGCAACTCAAGTTTTTTGTGACAACAGGGCAACAATTAGCATGGCCAGAAATCCAGCCTTTCATAGCAGGACAAAGCATATTGATATTCGATATCATTTCATTCGAAATCTGGTTGTTGAAGGAACAATTGAAATGTAACATTGTAGCACGAATGACCAAGTTGCTGATATACTGACCAAGTCACTGCCGTATGAAAAACAAGAAAAATTCAGACTTCTGATGGGGGTTACAAACTTTGAAGCAAGGGGGAGTGTTGCATAGTACCATAGTGCTTCAAATAGTTAGTGGGTCATTCTTTTTATTTTATTTGTGGCTGCTAGTTTTCTGTTTTTAGTGGGTCCTTTAGTCTTTAATTAGTTGGTTAGCATTTTCATTTATGCAGTTAGAGTCATGGGCCATGTTTCCCCACTTTCTCCTTATTTTTAGCTATTTCAGTAGTGGTGTAAGCCTACTTAAGGCTTTGATTGATTTGTGTAAGGTGTGTCATTGCAGTTAATGAAAAGAAACTTTACTTTCTTCCCAACAATATTCTACAATATTAAAACTATATTTCGGTAGATAAGATCACTGGAGAGTATATATACTCGGATAATAGCACAAAGGAGTATTGTATAAGTATGAATGTGATAGAAACTAGGGACTTTTATGCAATCAACTTCTTGTGAAACTTGTTTAAGAAATATAATCATACTTCAGTAATAGTACGTCAGTACATTTTTTAGCTTTTCCACGTCTCACACTGCCAAGAAATACATTAAAAAAAGAAACGAAACAAGACTTGAAGAGTGCATTGATCTCCATAAGAATAGAAGACTGCCCAACTTTTTACATAATTATACATATATGCATGATTATATAGACAGAACAGCTCCAAGGCGTAGATAAAATAACACATTAAGATCATCTTCAGTCTTGGAGCAGAGGACACGAAGAGAAATTAGCCTACTAATTAACTAGATTCAGCTTGGTAGCTCTCGTTATTGAATATGAAAGAGTAAAGGGGATTGATCGCATTTTATGCGACTCTTTCAAAAGCACCACCAACTTGCATATGTAGCCATTCTGAGGCTGATGCTTGATCGTATTCCCTCGGGGCCTGTGAAGGCCAAAGTAGGAGCATTGTATACCTGTGCTACAAACTGATGTAAAGAAAAATGGTAGAAAATAAAATGTTAATAAAAGTAATCAGTACTACATGCATGTGGTCCAAATTGAAATGATGAAAATTTCAAAAATAAATGCTAGCAAAACTAGTAAGAGCTGAACAGATATAAATCCAATGATATTTACATGCTTTCAGAAGCAAGTTAATTTAGCAGGCCCACACAACATCATCTGTGATCCAAATCTCAGTGTTCCTAGCTAGAGAGCTTGATTCCATAATAACCTATATCATGATTCCCGGAAAATGAAAAATAAAATATCATAAATTAAGCGTATGGATTAAACCCTTTGATCTTCGAGCAATTTCATGACAGATTAAGAAGCAAGGAAAAAATGTTATAGGTCTGAAATGGGGTATCGCACAAAGTACCATGCTGATGGAACTGTTCAGAGGCACAAGGCTCGTTTGGTTGCCAAAGGGTACTCATAGCAACAAGGTGTAGATTTTGACGAGACATTCTCTCCGGTTGCTTGCTTTGAAACAGTGAGAACCTTTCTTGCATTAGCTGCACATCTGGGATGGCATGTGTTCCAGTTTAATGTCAAATCAGCCTTCTTAAATGGTGAATTGAAGGAAGAAGTTTATGTCAGTCAACCGGAAGGCTTTGTCACTGCTGATGAGAGTAAAGTATACAGATTGAAGAAGGCTTTATATGGCCTTAAGCAACCTCTGCGAGCATGGTACAACAAAATTGACTCCTATTTCCAAGAGAATGGATTTGAAAGGAGCAAAAATGAACCGACCCTCTATGTGAAGAAGCAAGGTAATTCTAATTTCGTTGTTGTGTGTCTCTATGTCGATGATATAATATATATGGGGTCTAGTGAAGCTGTTGTTGAGGAATTTAAGTCTTGTATGATGAGACAATTTGAGATGACAGATTTGGGTTTATTGCATTATTTTCTTGGGCTTGAGGTCAATCAAAGTGCTGATGACATTTTTATTTCACAAAGTAAATATGCCGCTGACTTGCTAAAGAGGTTTAAGATGATGAATTGTAAACCAGCTTCGACTCCCATGAACGTGAATGAGTCACTTAAAACTAATGATGGTACTTGCTCAGCAAGTTCAAAGTACTTCAGGAGCATGATTGGAGGTCTGAACTATTTATCTCACACAAGGCCAGATATAGCATTCTCTGTCAGTGTGGTTTCAAGATTTATGCATAGCCCATCTATGCATCATCTCGGTGCAGCAAAAAGAATTCTCTGTTATATCGCTGGAACACACTACTATTTGATAGCTGGCTGACAAAAGACTTCTAGAAGCTCTTCTAGAAATGTGATGTGAAAACTAAGCCATGATCTGATACAATCATTTATGGGACTCCATGTAGTCTCACAATCTCCTGGATGAAAATCCTCACATAAGTCTCTATTGTGTAAGTTCTCTTAACGGGTAGGAAGTGCACCAACCTCATCAATCGATTAATAATCACCCAAATGAAATCATTCTCTTTATTAGACCTCGACAATCCTACGATAAAATCCATACAAATATTTGCTTACTTCCACTTAGGAATGGGTAAATGCTGTAGGGTTCCCGCGGGTCTCTGATATTCTGCATTCACTTGCTGACAGGTAAAGCACTTAGATGCATACTCTGCGATATCGCTATGCATACTACTCCATCAAAAATGTCTCTGGAAGCACCCCAATATCACTAGGAAAGAACCCTAGAGGGGGGTGAATAGGGTTTATACTTATCTAATCCGATTTAATACCGATTAAAACTAAATAACAAGTTATCCTAGCAAATAAGATATGCAATAAGTTATTAGCAAGGATAAGTAATATAAACAAGGGTGAAACATGATAAACAATAGATAGAATTTTGATAGGGTAATGTAAACAATGCAAACACACAATGTGATCACGGAGTTCGGACCTTCCGTCCTACGTCTCCGTTCCCTACTCCCAGGGAGAAATCTACTATCACACCGGGTTTTCAATGATCACCCGAAAATGTTTATACCTCCCACTCGGTTTTCTAGCTCACCGAAAACTTTACAACACTCACAATATAAACACACTAACTATCACCTCAAGTGTTGGTCTCTAGCCCGTGTCTCCATCAAGTGTTAGGAATTACAACCTCTCTAGGCATTATCACCTACCCCACTCCTCTTGGGATGATCCCGTCTCTCACCACACACTCCTCTTGGTGTACTAGTATAATACAAAGTGAATCCTCACAATACAACAATCGGTTTTCTAGTTCACCGAAAAATTTATAACTTACACACTTACAATTACACCCTCTAAGTGTTGGCCTAGTCCGTGTCACCTTCCTCCGATGGTCCAATCCTCCTTGGGTTCTTTGGAAATCTCCTATTTTGGGTTTGAATCCAAGAGTCATCTGCTTGAGCACTGACCACTCTATCAGTCCATAATGGCTACTACCACCAATCTTTGGCCTAAAGTCAAACTGACTGAGAGTGAGAAGATATCGATACAATGAGCATCTCAAAGCTGCAAGCCCATGATGATACTTCCTTCTCAACGCGTCTTCTACAATGTTTGCCTTTCTTAGATGATACTGAAGTGTGTACTCATAATCCTTAATGAACTCGACCCATTGTCGCTATCTCTGGTTGAGTTCATTTTGAGAGAAAAGACACTTCAGACTCTGATGGTCTGTAAATAGTTTAGAACTCTATAAAGATAATGTCTCCACGTCTTCAGTGTGAATACTACTGCTGCCAACTCTAATTCTTGTGTGGGATAATTCTGCTCATGCGTCCTCAACTTTCGCGAGATGTATGCAACTACTCTCTGAGTCTGCATCAATACACCTCCTAGTCCTGATAACGACACAATTGTGTAGACAACGGAGGTCTTGTCACTGCTAGGTATGATCAACAATGGTGCCGTAGTCAACTTAGCCTTTAAGGTATGAAAGGCTTTTTGACACTCTAGTCCCCAAATAAGCTAAACAACATTCTTTGTAAGGAGTGTCAGTGGGGTAGCAATCTTTAAAAAATTCTAGATGAACTTCCTATAATAGTAGGCGAGCCCCAAAAAGCTACGAATCTCCGTAACGATCTTCGGCAGCTCCGAATCAAGAATTGCCTCTGCTTTGGCTGGATCGACTGCAATGCCCTCCTTGCTAATGACATGGCCCAAAAATCTAACCTCCGAAAGCCTAAACTCTCATTTGCTAAACTTAGTATACAACTAGTGCTCTCCCAAGTCTGTAATGCTAATCGAAGATGTTGCTCATGTTCAGCCTTAGATTTCGAGTAGATAAGAATGTCTGTTATAAACACGATCATGAATTGGTCTAAGTATGGACGGAAAACCCGATTCATCAAATCCATGAATGTTACGGGTGCATTATTTAGCCTAAATGGTATGACAAGAAATTCAAAAGACTCATATCGAGTCAAAAATACGGTCTTGGGAATCTCCTCTCCCGTACACACAACTGATGATTGCCAGATCGAAGATTAATCTTTGAGAAATATCGTGCTCCCTGCAACTGGTCAAATAAGTCATCAATCCTCGGTACTGAATACTTGTTCCGGATGGTGACCTTATTCAACTCATGATAATTAGTGCACAACGAAGGATGTTGTCATTCTTCTTCACGAAAAGAACTAGTGCTCCCCACGGAGAATGACTCTGGTGAATAAAACCCTGAGAAATAAGCTCCTCTAACTGAGTTTGTAGCTCCCTCATCTCAGTAGGTGCCATACGATAAGGGCACGAGATATCAGTGTTGTGCTTGGCTGAAACTTGATGTAAAACTCAACCTCTCTCACTAGAGGTAATCCATGTATGTCCTGAAGGACGTCCTGATACTCTGAGACTACTCTGGTCTTGCTCAACCCGGAACCCCAAACCTGCAATATCACATCCTCGACATATGTCAGAAATGATTCCACAAATTGATTGCCCTATGAGGTTGTTACAACCAACTTGATCCCATCAGACGCTCGCAAACTGAATGTTTTAGCAAAACAGTCGATATT